TACTACGTGCCAAACTTTTGCCGCGTTCTCGCGTGCAGCGAGTAGCGCGGGTTCGCTACGCGCGAGCGACAAATAAACGCAGCTGTAGGCAATAATCCTCCGGCATTAATATTTGATCGGTCAGGTAAGCTCCGGCTCGCGGGAGTGGAAAACTTTCCGCGAGCGAGCGCTACGGCGACCTGGATCAAGCGAGATCGACGGTAGAGCACAGCTCTACTCCGGCATATAATACGAGTATGTAACATGCGATAAACGTATATTTGGCTTTACGTAAATAATCTCCGCGTTATGTACGTCATCGCGGTCGTTGTCAGTATTTCTGTCAGTTATTTTCTTTCGCGGCCGTGTCGTCGCGGTAATGCCTGAAATTAAGATGGACGGGTAGTTCGAAAACATGTTTTCTAATTTCCAACGAGCTTGAGCTAACGCAGAGAGAAAGGAGAGACTTCCACCGCTTCTAGCAAAACTGCAGCCATCGCATATTCGACGCAGAGAAGCAATCAAACTTCTCTACCATGACCAATTATTCGATATTGCAGTAGAACTTGTTTTGTGTGTTTGCAAGATCTCGCTTGAATGTTCTGTTAAAGTGAAACCGTTTATCTCTGAAATACATTTCGTAACGAAATAATTTGTTATTAATAATAATGAAGTAATTTTGTAGATTCAGCCAAATCATTTTCTGTAAACAGCAACGGTATTCTCGATAAATCTTTTTTACGACCTGAATGATAACTAACAACATTTCCCGCAGCAACATAAAATATACTGTTACATCAATAAATCTTTTTTTTTTTGCTCTTTCTGCGTATGTATATGTATATTTCGAAATATATTTTATTATTATATCGTTTCGCGTTGTATTATTATCGTCAAGTGGTAAGCACATCGTTGAATTGAAAATACTAAATATACGTAAATAACAAAGTCATACGGAAGGTGAACAAGGTGATTAAATCAATTGATTAAAATTGCGTTACGGAAATACGCTTTATTAGATTTTTGTTAGGAGAGCTTTTTTCTTTTTTCGTCGAGAAGTGAATTGCAAAGTCAATCGTGAGTGTCTCAGCCGGAAGAAATCTTACGTAAACTAGTGATAAAGAGCACTACCTGGCGCGCCCAGCAAACTTAAGGAATGAAAGTTATTGGAAGTGCTCGGCAGCGGCGACGGCACATGACGTTTTTCTCACGATCATGATTCTTCGAACGTTCGGTCGTTCGTCGTTTCTCTGTGACCTGCATTGTGCAAAACGTACGAGGGACTGGCGGAAGCAATGTAAGAAATCGCGAAAAAGTTCTCTCTCTCTCTCTCTCTTTCTCTCTTTTGGCCGCTGTCATCGTTGCGAACCAACTTGTACCCAGAGTTTAGGGCGAAGAAACCTTGTCCTATATGCGACGTCCTCGTTAATTCTGCGGTTTACATTCGCTCCTTTCCTTCATCGCGCAAAGAAACGTCGCTTCTGCACAACCACTACGTAGAGTAAAGACTGTCCTCGTTACCGTTGCCAGAAAGTTGCTGAAGTAGAGTCTCAGCCTTTACGAAAATACGCGGAAGGAGTCGCGGAGAAAACGATCAAGAGCACTTTCTCGTTACACCATTGTGAGATGAGTAGTTTGTCTGCCGAACGACTTAACTGATCGAGCACGAATAGTTTAAAGGCAACTTAGAGTAATGTACTCTGCGCGTTCGTATATATCTTTACCTATATATTAGTACTAAACTGCAGATATCGAACTTAACTATAGGTACATGCTTTAACGTGTAGTAGATATTGTTCTCGAAGAATAATTCGAATAAAACAGGATATTGAGAAAAATATTTGGGTTGCAGCAACAAGAAGTACCTATGTACAAACAAAATGAATGATCATATCAATCAGAATTCTAAATAGTTCTCGTAATTGAATTTCTGATCGTTTCGACTAGAATAATTAGATAGATTTAATTAGAAATATCTAATTTGTATTTTTCTGATTGACTCTATCAAAATTTCAATTAATATAATGAGAATATTCGTCCTGTGTGATTTTTATGCCTTTGAATTTTTAAACTTTCGCAGAGAACTTTGAGAAAATCTCTATGATTTGAAATTGTCTTTAAAATGCATTAACGTACCGTAGATCGTAGATTGTTTCCAAAGAAAAATTCGAATAAAATTAGCAGGATATATTATACTGAGAAAAATGTTTTGGTTGACCAACAAGAAGTACAAAATAAATCCTTATATCAATCAGATTTCTAATTATTGTAATTGAATTTTTGGCCATCTCGACTAGAATGTTTGATAAATTTAACTATAAATGTCTAATTTATATTTTTCTGATTAAATCTATATCGGAATACCAATTAATGCAACAAGAATGTTTTCCAGTGCAGTTTTTACTGTTATACCTTTGGATTTTTAAATTTCCACGGGAATTTTTGAAGAAACTTCTGCGATTTAGGTTTGCCTTTAAACTACATTAACGTATCGTAATCTGTAAATTGTTTTCGAAGATTCGAACAAAATTAAAACAGAATATTACACCGAGAAAAATTTTGGTTATACCAACGAGAAGTATGGACAAATGATCATATCAATCAGAATTCTAGTTATGATAATTGAATTTCTGGTCATTTTGACTAAAATGTTTGATAAATTTAACTACAAGTATTTGATCTATCAGAATTCCAATTAACGTAACAAGAATTGTTTTCCAATGTAGTTTCTATTATTATGCGTTTAGATCTTCAAATTTCTACAAGATCTTTTGAGAAATCTTCATGTTTGTATCTAGATTGCATTAAACATACGTTGATATCGTTCTTGAAAAAAAATTCGAATAAAGTGCAGAATAATACACTGAGAAAAATGTTTTGGTTGTGCCAACGAGAAATACAAACAAAATAAATTTTCATCATATATCAATCAGAATTCTAATTATCTTAATTGAATGTCTGATTACGTCGACTAGAACGGCTTTAACTGTAAGTGTCTGATTTGTACTTCACTTTCTGATCTACCAAAATTCCAATTAATGCAACAAGAATTATCTTCCAGTGTAATTTGTACTATTGAGCGTTGAAATATTAAAATTCCCACTTTGGGGAAGCCTTTGCGAGCTGAGATCTTTAGATCTAACTCACCTTTGCACATGCGGCAGGACCAGTTGAGCTGTACTCTTGCAAGCCTCCACGCAGTTGCGACGCAGCTTCCGTATTTTTTCGCGCAGCTCCGGACAGTCGCGCGGCTGTCCGATGTTAATAAGTAAATCTCGGAACTGCGCTACTTGACTGTTTATGTCCTGAATTTGCTGAAACGCACGAAAAGTGAAACTATCACGATCAACCTTCATCGATCATCCTATACGACGTGACGGAAATGCCGGATATACGCGCGCTTCAACGTGACAATAACGTTTCTCTCGCCTGCACTCTCGCTATTATTATATTTCTCTCGTTGAACAATTTCTCGTCCACACGCCTGTCCAAATACCGAAAATGATATGTTTGCATAACGCCGGAGCCTTCGTCACATAATTCGACATTCGGTCGTGCCATTATTAAATAATTGACAGCGACAGATAATGGCCTGTATCATCGATAATTTACGAATCGATTGCGTCGCGAATAATTACTAACGACGTAATAGTCTCTCCCCAGAGAGGGACGCGAGGCTCTCGAAAATAAAAAAATAAAAAAATAACACTGCGCTATAAATCACTGATCCTCCATCCCATAATTACCTGTATTCTCTGAAATAAAATCTAACTCTAAAAGAGTGAAATCTCACTCTTAAAAATTGAGCCACCCTTTTTCAGGATTGCCGCTCAATTGTCGCTCTTTTTCACTCGTATTTGTAGTCGGATTTTATATTTAAGACCTTAAGTACAATCTTAGGAACCAGTAAGAGAGCCGTATTAGCATTTTAAGACATTACATAAGACGGTATTGAAATAAGAACGGATTATGAACGCCGCCTTTTTTATCATTCTTTAGAATTAGATTCCACTCTAAAGATTTTGGAGAGTACAAAGTATCATATATATGTGTATATTCTACGCACTATTATATCCCGTGATGATTTCACTCAATCCCTTAGCATCAATTATTTGCATGTGTATTCTGTAAAAAGTGAAAAGTAATGGAAGAGTAATGGAGCGGCAGCGAGGAGGGGCTTTTAAAAAATGAATCAAGGAGGCTGCCTATCAGATTAAAGATCTCGTTACGCGATGACGTGAAAAATGGTCGCGAGTGGATTACAACGAAAGCTCGTTAAAGTTACGTCGACTCGAGGAAGGTAATTTCATAGTCGTTCGGGACTGTTTGCGATTCGCGTGAGTCTAGATTCGCTCACCAGTAACACCGTTTTATCAGATCTCTCGGGCTTGTCGGATTTGTCGTCGTGATGTCTGCTGGTCGATGGTGTCGGGGAATCCGTCATCATCTAATCTTGTTACGGACAATTCGCTCGCCAATCGTCATCACCCGACGCTAACAATAAGACGATCCCCGCGAGCATTTCCGGAGCGGCGAGCGAGGCACGCGGCTCACGCGGAACCCCCTTCCCGGACCGGAAGTCACCCACGGGGTTTCTCACGGACGGTCTTCTTGACGATCGCGTATCGCGCACTGATACAGTCGCCCGCCGACTATAAAGTGCACCTCGCGCGCATTCCCGCCACGTGATCCTCTTTTTTTTTTTTGTGCCGCGCGCCGGTTATTTTTACACGATCAATCCCGCTTCACTTAAAGCTGGCTGATAATAGGCTTATCGTTCTCTCTCTCTCGCCACCGGTATAGTCATCTCTCGGCCGCCACCGGAGCGGTGTAGTCGCTGCAGCGTGCTCGACCTTTTCCCCTCGTTTGCTTTTTAAAGACTTACGCGACATATTCTAATTGAATGTAGCGTTAAATAGGATCACGTGCATCCTTCGATTTGCGCCAGGCAAATCCCCCAGGGGGGGAGAGGAGGGGGGGGGGTTAATGACGATTTCTCTTCTAGCAGGAGCAAGAGTTTAAATTCCAAATCTCGGTAACTATCTGAATTAGCGCATAAGGAAGTTTCTCTCCGGCGGAAGCTGTCTCGCGGGACGAGTTTTAGCTATGTACAAACTAGTGTTTCCCAAATCGGGACGACCGTCGCGTGTCCTTTACTCTATCTCGTCTCGTTCGACGGAGGCAGGGTCCCCCCCACAGGGGTGAAAATTTGGTGCCTAGAGGGGACGATCTCGGGCGAGATATCCGATATCGACGTCGCGGGCGGTCGGGTCGGGCGGGAATTTCACGAGTGGAATTTGGGTTTACGCGCGAGAAGCGGCGATCCGCGACGAGCGACGAGGTCGCGCGGCGCTCCGTCGAGACGTCATCTCGCCCCCTCAGCGGGATGATCGCGTGGGATCAGAGCGCACCACCACCACCATCACCACCACCACCACCGCCACCGCCACCGCCACCACCGCCGCCGCCCCGGTCCTCCCTGGTCACGTATATACGCGTGACTCTCGCGTGCGGCTCCTCTCACGACATCACGACATCATCGAAGTTTACCCTCTCCTCGCCCGAGATCTGACTGATCTGAGAGGCACCGGTGAGAGAGCACTACGGCGGTGGAGAGCGGCACAGTATATACGAACTGTAGCAATACACGCGACAGACTGAAACGTGGGTTTCGCCCTCGAGCTCTTTCACTGCCGCGCGCCACCCTGCGACGAAGGCGCATGCCTGGCTCGCGCTACGACGCTCCACTGCGACCGTTTTCCACCGCGCTGTTTCGCAACTCTTATAAAAATAGGCAATTTGTCCCCTCTATATTTGATAACGTTGCTGTGAAACAACGTGATTTTCTTATTTGCTCTCGGCGTTGCCACCTTGGCAACCGTACCTACCGCGATTGTATTCTACGGGCGAAGTAACTGCCAAGCCGAGATAGTTATTAGCGGGATAACCAGAGTGATTCTGAAGCAGAACAAAAAAAAAAAATGGGACGAAACTTTTTTAAACGAAGCTTTGTTTGCGAGATAATTGGATTTGAAAATCAGAAAATTATAGGAACGTCTGTTCTGTTTTGAATTGATGTAATTTTCAATGACGTTCCAGTTTGATAAATTTAGTTTAACAATGACCGTCTCTCTCTCTCTCTCTCTCTCTCTCTCTCTCTTTTTTTTTGAAATGTAAAAAAATATAATATTTCTATTATTTCTAATTAAAAAATTTCATGAAAAAGAATTGATATTTTACAAATATAGTACCTCTCTGGCAACATGAAATGTTATTTATTACTTTCTCAAATAGTATATTGATTGCTTTTAATCTTTGATAATTAATGCAAATTATGCATATTCATCCAGTTACGAAAGGTATTATCAGTTTTCTGATTAATATAATCGATTTTTCCGGGAATAGTTTTATAAAAATTTTATTTTACGATTTCCACTTTGATCACTTTTATGAAACCACCACTAACGAACCTGTTTCACAATTTTGTTCTACTAATTTCTAATTCGCGAAAAACAATTTTTTTTTTTCGATATATTTAATTATTTTACAAATTACGCGCAATCAAAGCATGACGAGCAAATATTCATTTTGTAATTTTGTCTGGATGGTTTGTATTATTTCTATTAAAACGAACAAAGAGATGGCATCGAGGGAAGATCTTGGAATAAATTATTCTGAACTGAACGTAACTTTACCGAGAATTAATTGCGTTAAAATAATACAGAATAGTATATATACGTATATAGAGTTGCATAAGGAAAGTTACCTTCGTTTTAACACACTCCATCGTATGCATTACGGCCGCAAATGCACTTTTAGCCGAGAAACATATACAATTCCGTTTCGACGATGCTGCCGTTTCGCCGAACCACTTTGCGCTGAGACATTCGGGACTCGGTAAAAGCTATACCGATGTAACGTAATTTCGATGCATTAATTGACGTCGTTGCATCTCGACGACGTTGTACATCGACGATACTTTCGCTATTCGTGCCGCACGTGCCGCCGACAATCAATGTTCGCTTCCGACAAACTTCCGACGCGATATTATTATCCTTTAAAGTTTTAGAACCGACAAATTTCAAGGATTCGCATAATTTCCGTAGCGCCTCGCGACTTTTCTACGTATGAAGACCGCAAAGTTTTTCAAATTTGCCTCTCTGTGTTATTTCTTCCAGCTTCTGCTTGGCTTCTGTTATGCTAAAGGAAAATTTAATTTTAAGCGGAATTATGTTCGAAAGACTACACGATAGGGGGGGTCGATAGAATCCGATTAGGAATACGCAACGAATTAAAAGTTACATTAATGTCTTTATGGTATTATAGATTTGTAAATATGATATAATAATATTGTTTTAAATTGTACAATATTACGATGGAAACATTAACGTTTGTATACGTAACATTCGCGCGGACAAATTTATACATGCGACAACACAACCACTGGACTTTTGTGCAAAATGACAATTGAGTTGCAACTCTATTAATGTCACGCATCAGCTTGCATCTATGCGCGCTGCATTCGACGGCGTACAACGCACGTTCTGTGAATTATAGACATGTGCGCACGACAGTACATTCATATTGTATAATTATACAAATTGACAACAATCAGGACGCAGTTATGCATCGAAGTCATCGTCGGCAATAACGCGATTGGCGCTCTTTCCACCGAGTATTCGATCGGCCTGGAATTGTTGGATCTCATTAACGTCGAATTAAGCTCACATTGATGGCGAAATACAATATTAAAAATGTCGCAGCGAGATGCCGCATTTCTTGTTTTTCTCGGTCGGATGATCGCGCGACGGAGTCGATGGAAACTTGCTCGTCGAGTTATTGTTTAACCGATCCTGTTTGCTAAACCGCTTTCCCGCTTCTTTGTCTGCCATTCTCTTCTTTCATACTATATCTACTTTTTTTGTTTTCTCTCTGAGAGAGTACTTTCCGAGAATATTTCCATTATCACTTTAGAAGTTTGAAAGAATGTCTCATCGCTCAAACGACTTACATATACTATTACGTCGTGCTGCATGTAGATCATTTCTGCTACCGATAATTGAGACTTAATGCCATCACAAGATATAAATCTCATTCTCAAGTTTCATTTTATCGAGTCGTTTAAATCTGAAATTTATATGTAAACATTATCCTTCTTTCCAAACTAATTAATTATTAGAACACTTTCTTTTTTTGTGTCGGCGTCTTCAATGCTCGGGTTTATCTTCGCCTCGTGTCATTTTATTTTTAGCTGTAATTACTTCTAGTCTGCATCATTACTTCATTTGTAACTTTCTTCGTTTTATTTTGGTTTGCGTGACTGCTTGCACTTTCTGAGAGAGAGAGAGAGAGAGATGTACACATAATAACTCTTTTAAAAAAATATACTATTCTACACTAAATATCAAAGGAGCAACCTAATTCCTTGAGAGTTTAAATAACATTTTATTATTTTTACTTCTTCACGTGTCAAGATCTAAATTAATCCATTTCTGTAGTTAGTTTCAAAGTAAATAACTTTTATATTAACGTATGCATTTAGTAAATAGTAAATTAAATTAGAGTCAAAATTCAATATATTTTCTCAATTTAAATTATTTAACTTTATTGTTTTAATGAAATTAACGAAATATTAGAGAAACGGAGTGACGAGACTTGCAGAAAAGTGAAAATAATTCAAGTTGGGTATAATTTGATATTATAAATTTAACAGTGTATAGAGTACGTTTGATGACGTATTTATCCCTATATATCTATACAGAGAAATAGTCTATTCTGTTTACGACACCGACCGAGTCCGACGCGACTTTACTTTTTATTCACTCTCGTCTCCTCTTCTTCCTCTTTTTATTCTCCTTCGTCTTGCACTTTTTCCTTGCCGCGATGCTTCCACCCTCGCTGGATCCTGCCCCTTTTCTCTCGTTCCACCGTGTGACAGATCGTAGGGTGTGCCCGAACCATCGATTACCTTAAGAAATTAAATTTAAGGCTCGGCCGCCGGGATACCTGACGTTGAAAATTAAATGCTCGCGAGACAGACGGCTGCCTTCCTCGTAAATTTTCCGCTAAGACTTATACTCGCACACATTTTCGAGGACGTGTCCGGTATATAGTTCGTATATGCGATACACGATCCGCGCGATGTACGCGTTCGCGGCCTCGACGCGAGAAAAGAGGATGAAAGGATTTTGCTGGACTACGGCCGACACTAACGAGGCAATTCTCAGACAAAGTGCGACGTGGTGTACAATGGCACGGCGAGGTAAGGGCAGACGATCGTAAAATAGTCAAGAGCGACGGAAGCTATTTTCAAAGTTCGATCGAAACTTCTTGGCTGGCTGCGCAACACGTCGTATTCTTAAAGAAGTAAGACCGATCGAAATTTCGTGCAAAATTTCAAACTTTCTCAGATTCGTACTCGGGCGAGTTATTCCGCTCCGAATACGATGGTTCTCACTGCGATCGATAGCGCCTTCTCAAACTACTTCCTAATGGCACAATGGCACCCAGGTACGATCACCGGGCGATTCAATTTGCCGGGGCATCCCCATGAAAGAACTATCCGGCGAGCGATGTATAAGAACAGGGATTCTCTCGAATGGCCGTGGATAATGCGCCAGGGATACCCAGTGATTTCCCTTTGGAGATAGGATTAGTTATTAGAATAGACGAGGCCTATTTAGTTTCTGACGCGAAGTAACTGAAGCGTCTGTACAAGTAAAGATTTCACGGGGCGTTTTTGATTTCCTATCCGCGGCGCAGTAATTCTACTTCCTTCCTTGTTTCCCCTCTTTCTCTGGCTACCTGCAGCGGTTGCGGTTGGAAACACTTTAGGTTTATCTACCGCGACCAGCATGTTCCGTGACAACTCCTAACTGGCTCTTTTAACAATCCCGTCGTATAGAAATCGTTAGTTTCTGCGGCGAACGTGCCGGCACAGTGTCGCGAGCCGACTTTAAACGGATTACAAACGCGCGACGCGCCTCCTCGGCCTCCCTCTTTCTCTCCCCCGCGGAGAATTATAGACCCGTAAATTTCAGTTTTATGCCGCCTGGGGCTTATCGCGGGGCGTACATTGCGCAAAGAGCTCAGTCCTTTTTTTTCCCTAGGCGGGAAGGGAGAGTGCAACCCCTTTCCTAGAATACCATAGCACATTGCACTCTTCGCGTTTATATTCTAATGGTTTGTTATACACGGACATCGTGGATTTGCATATATATTCACGCGACACGCGTGTAAAAAACGTGTAACAGTAAGATCTTTAAGTGACCCACCCT